TTTTTATTTAAAAATTTATTTATAATACTATATATATTTATTTAATATTTATTATATAAGATTAATGTATATCAATCCTAATTTTTAAAAAAAATTTAGAATCTTAACACTAAACTTTTAATGCAAAATTTAAAAATTTACTTTATCAAATGTTGATATCTAAATTTAAAAATTAATTATATATCATAATAAAATCACTTTCTAAATCTAAATATTAATGTTTAAAAAGAAAAACTTTTAAATTTTAAATTGAGTTTTCATTAGATAAAAGGAGGTACTTGTTTTAAATTTGGAACTTTAATTTATTTTCAAAATTACAACTAATATGCACTTTTTTCTTATTATATTTATTTAATGTTATATATCATGTAATTATAAATTTATCATATTAAGTGATACTATTTTTTTTATTAAGTTTCAAATTTTAAAAGTTATATTAGTTTGAATGAATTTAAAATTAAATTACAATGAATCACATAAAATTTTTTTTTAATGTCTATTACTCTATTTATTAAATTTAAATTTAAGATTTTATTTAAATAATATTTCCACCTAAATGTATGACTTTATTTTATTTAGACTTTATTTAATTCAAAAAATTAAATGATCAAATAAGTCAAAAAGCCCACTTAAATGTTAAATCCCTTGCCATATAAGCATGGCATGACAATATTTTGCCATCCAAGCAGCCAAGCATAAGGGAAATGTTATTGGGACAATATTTTTGTCTGATCTTTTTGTACAACTTGGTGTATCATTAAAATGATTGGTTTTTTAATTTATGTGAGACTTGTAATATTGAATGCATCCACTCATTTAATGACACGTGAAAATTGTATAAAAAAAAATAGGACAAAAAAGTTGTACTTATAGCACCACCCCAAGCATAAACGGCAGTTAAGCCATGCAGCAAGTCCAAACGGTAGTTAAAGTTGGCGTAAGAAGAAGGGCTTAATTGCTTTGATAGTAGAGTTTAAGGGCTTATATGCATCAATTAAAGTCTAGGGGTTTAATGGCGATTATGGGGTTAGTTCAGGGGCTTAACTTATGGTTTTGCCAAGTTTTTATTCTTCATTTTATTATTATTATTATTGGAAATTTGCATCACTAAGCATTTACAGCCATCCTAAGATATATTAGACCAACATGGACAAGAACAAGAAGACTGGGAGGAGAGGGGATGTGCGGTATACACATGGACTTAAGATGGTTTTAGAGGGATAAATAAATGATACTTATGTCCCATTTAAAACCTCCATATTGAAAATACTACTATTAGAATCTTGGAATGGTCATGGAAAGATATCTTTCCACACAGCCCGTCAATTACATTCAAAAAGACTGCAAAAATAAGTTATAGGAGTACAAAGAGTCCCTTAATTAGGGTATGTTTAAGCTCTCAAATTCAAATATTAAATGGAGAAATTCAATTGTAAGCCAACCATCAAATATAACCAAAAAAAGAAAGCATAAGTAACACCATATAAGATGAATTTTGCATCTTCATATAAAAAACCAAACCGACCGTGGTAGATCTCATTCCGTCCAACCATCAAATCATTTTACCCAACAGATAGGCAACGCTAAAAAGAAACCTGTAATTCTTATATAATAAATAATTAGAATTTCAAATTTCAAACAAAATCATATATGCTAACGATTTAAATAATTAATAATATTTTTTTGTTAAAAATAAAAAATTTTAAATTCGCATCACATAATATAAAAGTGAAATAAAATAAGACATATGAAAAAGTTATCGGAGATAGGAAGAAGTTGTTACTCATGATACCACCAAAATATAAAATTAAAAGAAAAAGAAAAAAAAAAAAAAGAGAAAGAGTCACACCCAATGTGTCTGGAACATCACTTCTACTAAGTCAAGAGGGAAGGAACCATACATTTAGAAGTTAATTTATTCGTCGAACCGAATGCAGACATCATAGACAAACCAATGGGAAAAGTGGTAGTACAGGATGAAATTGCTAGGAAAGAAAACTAAAGAAACAACTCTGTACAGGAAACTGTACAAGAAGATATTCCCAATATCTGATTAGAGTTCTTCAGGGGGTCTGAAACCCGTAATTTCTACGATCAGAACCCCCAGCTTTGGCAGGCATTAAAGGAGTTCTAGTGGCATCCTAACAAGAAGTCATGCAAGGAGAGGGTTGGCCCCCACAAAAAAAAGAAAAAAAAAGAAAAAAAAGAGAAGCAGACTACTATTCTACTTCCTCTAACTCAACAATTTGTGCCTGTCTCTCAGCTGCTTTTTTCCTTATAAAGAATCCCCACCTCAATGCTGCCTTAATCTTCAGGAATCCAACAACAGCTTTGCCAGGACGTGAGCGATCTTCATCAAAGTTTGGCATTGGAGATGGGATGTAAGGAGGGG